TAAGAAATGCATTTTTAATTGTATAAGAAATTTTCAGAAAGTGCTCAAAATTGATTCATAATATTAAATGTTCATCAACAGTACCTAAGGGGGCCCAGGGAGATGGCTCAGTAGATTAAACGCTTCCTGGCAAGCACGGGAACCTGAGTTCAATCCCCGGTTGTGAAGAAAAAAAGAAAAAAAAGGCTTCTAATTTCTCAACTTCGTTGAAATAATATTAATAAACTTTTGATTTGTTTAAAGTAGAAAGTGTATAGTGCAGTACATTTCAGAATAATTCATTTATTATGACCGATGTTGAATATTAATTTATTCACTTACAGCTTGTGTATCTTTTAAAGCGTTTGTTTAAGCATTTTGTCACTTTTGAGGTTGCAGCACATTGTTGAGTGGAAACAGTTTATATATGTGGTTGATAAGGGTCTTCATCAGATACGGTTAGAAGAAAATTACTTGCTTATATTCAAGTATTTGACTTAGCATTTCATTGTCCATAAGTGATTATTTATGAAATTTGCTCATATTCATTTTGACTTTATATTTTAATAATTTATCTTCATTCTACATAAGAAAACTTCCATAAGTAAAAATTTTTCCTATGATTTCATGAAATCTTATGGCTTTATTTGCATATTAAGATATATGACTCATTTTGTCTTTGTGTATATTATTAGTTGTACACATGCATAAAATTCTCTGTGTCTTCCTCTGTTTTTAAACATAGACATCCAGTTGTATAGCACTATTTGCAAATGTGCATTTTACCAAAGAATTATGTTTAAACTGTTCATTGAAAATGAATTATATATATATATATATATATGCATGTATTGTCTATCATCCTGTTTTATTATTTGACAACTTTTACAAAGACTTGTACTTCAGCTAGTATGAGACATCAACTTTGTTCTCTTTTTACAACCTGTGTAACTTAATAACCTTTCAACTGCTCTATATATTTTAACATCATATTGTCAATTTTTATTCTTATTTTCTATAAAATTTAACACCAATAAATATGTAGATAAAAATTGGGAAGAAATGTCATACCAATGTATAATTTCCAAAAATGAGTTCTGGGAATTTTTTATAGATTCATTTCATTTTCACATATACAATCATTTTGTCTTCAGATGAATCCTGTTTTACTATTCATTTTCTTCTGTCTTAGGCCTCTCATCTTCCTGTCATGGTACAGTGAGATCTTTGTCCACCACCTGTGAAATGAAGTGCATATATGTAAGATGAAACTGTGCAGCTAAGATATTATGAAATTATGATTGCAGGAAAAGTAAAAGATATGATATTGTTGCTGTTTAATATTCTGGAGTTCAAATATAACTTTTTACATGTGAATATATGTAAAGAAAACAGAAATAATTCTGGAGGTAGAAGTTTGTCCTAAAAATATGTAAAATTTTGGAGAGAGTTTATATGGTCAGAAAAAAAGGAGCTCTTTGGAGACTCAAAATGAAAAAATAAAAGACTTTAAGATGTCAACGTATTCTTCATGAGCCTCAACTCAGAAAGTTCTCAGGGAAGGCTAAAAGGAATGCAGGAAATTATTGGAGTTGGTGAGAATATGTGGAATGGAAATTTGGCACATTTTCTTACTGACAATGAAAAAAAATTAGAAAGTTAAAGAAAAGTTTTGATTTGTTAGCGATATGTGAAAGTAAAATAGTAAATATGAGTTTTCACTCATTCTTACTCTGAAAAGGACAACAGAAGAGAAATGAGGTAGAGGAAAAAGAAACTGTTAAGGTAAAAAGAACCATTACTTCAGTTGAAAATGAACAATTCCTTAATTCTTATATATCTGGATAATAAGTAACTTCAAAAGTTATCAGACAAATAAATGACAGTAAAATGTATTTCAGTTGAATGTGTGTGTACTATCATTTATTTACTCCTCATAAAAATTTACAAGAATGTCTCACAAAATCTTTTTCCAATGCAGAGAACCTGGATTAGGCCTGGAGATCCTCCTTGTTAAAAAATGGGACCTTAGAAATTTAAGTGTGGGTTGTACTTCAGGAGACTTCAAGAATCCTAAAATAAAGAATAGTGCATTGGAGATATTTGCATATGTATCTTGAAGCAAGAAACAACTATAGCAAGGACTCCAAATTTTTAACAATATTATTCTAGAAGACAGATTGAAAGTACTAAGAACTTAAAGAACAAGGAAAGGTCCATGGGCTTCCAACCTTCTGCATTAAGGAAGCAGTTTGAGTAAACAATGCAAGAGCAAATACTATCGTTTTACTCTACAGAGTAATACCACATAGGATAAGATTATCCTGTATTGTAACACCAAAAGACATAGCATCTATAAAAGTTGCTGGGGTATATGTCTGGATAGATTACAGAATGTCTGTGGCTCTCTGCTTTCTTCTATTTCCTTCTGTATTTGTTTTCTTATACCCCGGCTACCAGTTCTACCAGATCAAGCAGAGCATATATAACACAGAATCTCTACCACTTAAAAAATCAGCACAATACCTATTACTTGCTGATTAATTTCTTCATAGAACAACAAAAAATACCAAAAATTAAACGGAAGCAAGCACATACAAAAAGCTTAACTAAATCATCTTGTGCAAAAACAACGGAGCAGGAACCGTTAAGCTGCCTGACTTCAAGTGGCATTATGAACCTATAGAAATGAAAACACCATGCTATCTGCACAAATACTGATGAATTAACCAATGAAATAGAACAGAAAACCTAAGCATATGGATCCACCTCTGTCGTAACTCGCTTTCCACAGAGATACTGAGAAATACATGAACTGTGTAAGCCGTCTGAGTGCACCAAGGCTTTTATGTCGTAAGGAAGCCCAGACTAGATCAAAGTTCACATAGAGAAGCCCTAAGATTACATGAGGAGAAAGACATGACCGCCATTGACCAGTGCTTCCAGCTCACCTCCACCCTGTCCCTAGTTCTTCAGATCCAGTCATCGTGAAATTACTTGTCCTAAATAAAATCAAGTTGAAACGCTAAACTGATCCCTTCCACTTGGCCTGATATAGAGACAAAAGCATAATAAAGTGGTAGATTTCATTTTATTTATTTATTTTGCAGAGCCAGGGATTGAACTCAGGCCCTTGTGCTTGCCAAGCAAGCACTTATTCAACTGAGCTATCTCCTCAGGCCCTAGATTCCATTTTTAAC